ATGAGACTGAATCTGGAGTGTTATTGTCACTGCTTGGTTTTGTGTTGAGTAGCTTTTTTTCCTTCCCTATTTGATTTCTTTGATGCTGTATTGTGTCAGTGATTCTGTTGCTGCTAAGTGACATGTAAAGTAAGTTTGTTGATCTTGGTCCAATTGTTAGTAGAGTTACATCCTAAAATATACCAGGACAGAAGATTCGTTTTCTCCCACTTCTCATGCAGGTCAAAGGCTGAATTAGGTGGGGAGACATAACTTTTGGGTTAGATATGGTGACCGCTGGTTCAAGATGTTGGTGAAATAAGTGTTGCATTTAAGATATGCTACTTAAAAAATGATTAAAGGAAAATTCGTTACCTATTAATATTGCTGTCAGTTAATGAGGCATTACATGCTTTAATTAAGCTGAAATGTTCTGTAGTTCAGCCTTTTTACTGCGGTGTGGTTAACATTCACGTGCTGCCCTATGTAGAAACAGCTTCCTTTAGCGTGAGATACTTCCATCCCAACCTGTATAGCCTGAGTGAAGTGGGAGATTGTAACTCATTCAGGTAACTTTGAGAAGATCATTCCTTTGAAAGGAAGGTAACGGCTTTTGGTATGCTACATCTCATTCGCATGCTTATGTTAAATGGAAGGAAGGGTTTCATGGTAACTGTTGGAGTCCGTGAGATAAATTACTTAATGCATAGATTGCATAGCCTGAATGGAGTGATGGAATAAGGGATGGCTAAACAGATTTAAAAATTTCTTATGTGTTCATGTTTTTCTTCGGTAGTCTAAAACAACTCCTATCTAATATGTTGCAGGTAATAGCCAAACTAACCTCAGGATTAGTAAAATGTAGCTCAAAACATGGTTGCTTCCTCAGGAGAGTGCTAGTATTTGGAGTGGGGGTGAAAGTCACTGATTTTAAGCAGTTGTGTCGGACACTGTCATGTCCTTTACTCAACATTTTCATGTTTAAAGATGTGATTGCAATATTGGTTCTGTAGTTAGATCTTTTAAAAGAGAGAATCTCAAAAACCCCAAAGAATTTTATGGAATTACAGCTGTGTGCAATCTGTGTACCTTTTTTGACATACGGAAGTGCCTTTGTATTGCTGGCTGCTATTTGAAGACCCTCCATGGAGCCCCTTCCCGGGGATCCCCCTTCAGCCTACCTATAACGTGTGCTTGCCAGTCGCCCAGAATAGCCGAGCTGACAGCTTCGAGCAGGACACGCTGTCCCGTAGGTGTCAGCGGGCGCGGAGCTGGTGTCATCTGAGCTGTGCCCTATCTCTTTTCAAAGCTGCTACTTTGTTCTTACTTCTTTCTTCCTTTGCTTCCAGCTGTAGTGCTTTAAACCAACGGTGGCCAAACCCAAACACTCCACCTGATGGGTTCCCATTCGTGCTCATGGCAGCTAGGCTGTTCTGAGCTGTTAATTGCCTTCCTGTTGTCTAACCCCTCAGGGTAAGTAATTGTACCTCGAGTTTCCTTATGGCAGCTGGAAAGTTACAGTTCTCCTAGGAACGGCCCAGATTTGTGTATGATCAGATGGCTCCAGCTCTTGTATTCAAAAGTAACTCCCTTTTTTCTTTTTGTGCTTTAGTCCGAAGGCAGGACGCAGTAAATACGATGTTTGATCAGTGTGAGACTACAGATATTTCACATGACGCTGCCTGGACGTGCCTGTTATCTTGAGGCTGTAAATGTGGAATTTCTGAATTCCTTTTGAGATAAGTGGCGAGAAGCGAGGCAATGGGTAGCCTGCAGTCCCTAGCAGTGTTTTCTCTGTGTTTGTGGACTTAGAAGAGAAAGAACGTGTGTTACGTTCTCCCTTCAAGTAAACAGCCTTCAAATACTGAATAATAAAATAATTAAGATAGTTCTGGCAGTGTAAGGTAAAGTAGAAATTTCATAGGACAGTTTAATGTTGATATTAAGAGACGTTTTTATTTTTTTAAGTATTCACCTGGCTACTAATAAACTTATGAATGCCTGATACTGAAGGAATCTTAAAATCAAACTCCTTCATACTAATAGTGATTATCTTCCACTGGAGTTTCATAGTACTGACTTTGAAAACCTGTTTTTATTGAGAGCAACCCATGTGTTAGCCTGTTTGTGTGCAGCAGGTACTCCAGCTCTCACAACTCTTTTCAAGTGAGTGTTTGTTAGAGTGAAAGTTCATTCGCTTGAGAAACAAGAAGAGCCTTTTCTTCACTTTCTCCCCAATACTGTGTGTGCATGTGTTACCGTAGTTTGTGTTGGGAAAGATCTGCTAGAGCTAAAGGCTTATTTCACTGACAACTGTTAAAAGAACCAAGCACAACTTGCTACAGAAATTCTTCTGCATCATATTTCCCCCCTCACTCCCCCAAATATTTCAAATACCTTTGTATTTTAAATTAAGAGTTAGTCATTGCCCAAGTGCCAGGCATGCACTATTAATACACTAGTGAGGTCAGGTTGTGCTCTTTCACTGGGTGAATACTTGCCAAAACTCTTGAAACAAGTTTCTACAAATGCTTGTGTTGGCCACTAAATCTTCCCTTGTCACTGTTAGGCTTCTAGTCGCTGCTGAGGGCAGCAACAATGCGAGTCTAAATGACGTGCTACCTAGAGCGTGTGTGGATAATGGACAACATTATTATATAAGCCCGAAAAACCTGCCTGCAGTCCTTTCCCCATGAAGGACGTTAGTGTATTTATTGTGCATGTTCTGTATATGCTGTAAATGTATTTTGAGGACTGGCTTTGCTCGGGGCCAGAGCCTGACCCCGGAACTGGCATGGAGCAAGAGGAGCACTGTGACCTACTCTCAAAGTGTCCCCTGAATAGCTGATAAAATTACTAGGATTTGTCCCAGAGTCAGGCTCAGACCTGGCGGCACTAATCCAGTATGGGTTTTGTTTCCTGGAAGGGCTAGAAAATATGTGTATGCCCAGTCTCTTACACTTCTGCAAACAGAAGGCGTATCTGGGAGGCTTTCAGTCAAAAGCCTGTAACTGCCCCTCGTTACTCTTTACTGCAGCGTTCCTGAAATCTGTGCACAGCTCTGTGTCAGAGGAGGATTACTTAATCGGGGATCACAGTGTTGTTCCAGCACTGGGAATGTGTTGGCTGCCCGATGGGCAGCTCTGCACAACTTCTGCGCTTTACGGCACCATTTTTGAAGGTGAGCAGACTTATAATTTCAGATTATTGTGTTGTGCTGGCCTGGAAGCTGCAACATCCAAGCCTACCCTCTGTGGGGAGGGGCCTTGTGAGAGGGAGAGTGTGGAAACCATTTAGAGTGGTCTCAGCATCAGGGCTGGGGGTCGTGGACAGGGGTGGCTTGTCCTGATGCTGAGCACGGCAGTTGCATACGCATGCTGGGAGGAACGTGGTTTACGGTTGGACTTGATGATCTTAAAGGTCCTTTCCAACCAAAACCATTCTATGATTTCTGCACTGTGGTGATGAGCACTTGTACCCATACTGCTGTGTGTTGGACTCGGGTGGCGTTTTCAAGTGTCCAGCAACCTACGTAAATAATGGCAAGTCTGGTACATCCAGTTTGGGAAATAAGTTCCTTTGCCTCATTCAACCATTGCAGGAATTTCACTTTTCAGTTTTGTCGTGTCGTGTCCCCCCCCCTTTTTTTTTTAAATTCTAAAATATGGAAACTGACTTCCACACTTCCAACTCCTGATTGGTTTGTGTTATGGTTGATAATAACCTCTTTCTTGAGCCCTCTCGCCCAAGTGCTTGTCTCTTCTTCCTGTTATCCACAAGCTTTTGCTTGGTTTTAGAATACTGTTAAAATAAAACTAATCTCATCATACTCTGAAATAATTTGATTCAAGGTAGAATGTGATGTGTAAAAGTTTTATGTTACAAGTACTGGATTTCACACCTCTTCACCAACTGTGCTACCAGCATAAATGAAGGTTAAATTTTGCTTTGTGTTGTGACTCAGCAGTTCACACACGAGATCTTTGCATTTAAAAAAGGGAGGGGAGACTGAATTGGTCTCTGTAAGGTGAAGCGTAGTTTTAGAATGAAAATGAAGGATCATTGCAAACAGTGATGGGAATTTATTTTTGCCTCCTTATAGTAGGTTCTGTATCTGATAACTTTTGCTAGATTCTCTTCTCCAACGCCGTGTCTTTTTAATTTCTGTAACTTTTGTAGGAAATTCTGCTGGACAACTGTGCTTACTAATTGCTACAGGTAAAACTGGAACAAATTAATTAATGGAATTTTCCCTTGTTTGTTCCTAGAATACTACTTTGATCTCGTTGAATATAATACGGTTTCTAGCTACTGCTTCCTGTGGCTTACCGACCTGCATGAAAGCTTTAATTTGGGGTTGGGGAAGAAAGAGGGTGGGTAAAGCTA